GGAAGCTCCACTAATAGTCATTTAGACTATTACCAATCATGGAAGCTCCATTCTCAGGGGACAGAACAATCATCTATAAATGCACAACACGATGTAATGGAGATTGTTTGGATAAAACTGTATGGTGGTGCTCCCAGAAACAAAAGATTGCTATTTTAAATATACAAATTTATTTGTAGGCCAATGTGTCAATATGAAGATGTGAGAAGCAACAAATTGGTTCCCAGATTGTAAAAAAAAAAGGTTTTTATGTAAAAGTCAACATTTCTAGTCAAGTGAATTCAACTCAAAACAAGACAATCATCTGTAAATTATGAGATTTTTTTTTTTTTTTAAGCAAAACAAACAGGATTATACCTCCAGAAATAGCACTTGTAAGTAAACCATGAAGGAGAAGTCACAACCAGTACCTGCAGCTGATCTGGGTTTTTTTTTTTTTGGGGGGTGCTTTTATTTAGTAAGACAGGTGAAGAAAGACAGGTAAAGGGGAGATAGAGAGATGCAGCAAAGGGCCGCAGGTTGGAATCTAACCCGGGCCGGACTCAGCCTACATGGGGCACACGCTCTACCAGGTGCGCTATCCTGTGTTCAGCTCCAACTTGTTCCAACCAAATTTAACCCCTCAGGGTGTCAGTATTAAATCAACACATCTATCAATGCCCACATAGACTTGACTTTAATGTGGCTGTTGTATTTAAGTGATTTGGGTATCAGTTACTGATGTGGAAACCGAGTGTGTATTTGCCCCCTGTTCTCTATATATACACACACACACACACACACACACACACACACACATCCCATGCCTGCCTCACAGTGTTATCTGAAGTCCAGCCAGAGGTCTAGCCAACAAGCCAGTTTGTACCCATGATGTTTGTCCCCTCCAAACCTGAGCAGCTGTTAAGAGACTTAGCTTCTCACCCAGCTCTCGGCAGAAGTGGAACGCAGTGGTTGTTGAGCTGTTCCCTAATACCCCTATGCATTCATACTTGTTCTCTTCACTTTCCCAGAATGTAGCTCTGTATGCCTCACTGTGCTGAGGTCCTTGCCCTTGCCAACATTATATCAGTGGATTACTCATCCTTCCACTGGGGCAACGTACTGCACTGTGTGTGTGTGTGTGTGTGTGTGTGTGTGTGTGCGTGTGCGTGTGCGTGCGTGCGCGCAGTGTTGATTGCTCAGACAGTAATGACTTGTTTTTCTAGCACTACTGTATAACGAGACAGAGCTGCTGTTCATACAGAATTAAGATTAATTGTGATATTCAGCATTTGGTTTGTTGAGCATTTTAGTGTTAAGACAGTCAAGTGGGATTCTATTTAGAGCTGAAACCAGTACAGTGTTTCCTCTAGGATTGTTTTTTAGCAGTGGGGGCAGGCCCGTCTGACCGACACTGCAGTAGTTGAGTCATTAAGTTGTCAACTGACAGAAAACTAATTGGCAGTAGTTTTGATAGTGGATGAATCTGTTGAGTTTATAAGCCAGAATGCCCCGAATTTATTGGTTCTTGCTCCTCAGAAGTCAATATTTGCTCACTTAATCTTCTATAATAGTAAACTGAATATATATTTGAGGTGTTGATTGTTGACCAAACAGGCCATATGAGTTTGTTGATGGACAATAATGTGCAGTTAAATAAAAGTTAAAATTTGCTGTCAGCTGCAGCCCTCTTATTATGAACTCAAAACTCCATGATGTTGTCCCAAGGTGGCTAGATGGATATTACAGGGCATAAGTTAATAATTGTGTATGCAAGTGCGTTAATGTGCATGTGTAAGAGAGAGTTAAGATGTTAAAGTGTGCTATAACCGAAGTGCTTGTTGGATGGTCGAACAGTGCTGGAAACCCTCAAACCTTTCCAACGTCAGAAAGCAGGAGCACCCCCATCATATGCGAGACCACGCTACCAAATGAGCTAAACACGTTTTATGCTCACTTTGATCTCCCCAACAAATAGTCTGCTGTAAAGTCGACTCTGCCTCCAGAGAATCTGCCGCTGACAACATCCACAGCGGATGTGCAAAAATATGACTACGTAAAGCTGCTGGGCCTGATAACATCCCTGGCCGTGTACTGAAAACATGTGCTAGTCAGCTAATTGATGTCATTACTGGCATTTTTAACATTTCACTGTCACAGGAGAAGGTGCTCACCTGTTTCAAGACAGCCACCATCGTCCCTGAAAGGTCTGCAGGGTAACGACTACTGCCCTGTGGCAATTAGCCCCTGATGAAGTGCTTTGAGAAACTGGTTTTCGGGCACATAAAGAATCACATCCCTGTCAGCCTGGACTTCCACCAGTTTGCGTTCAAAACAAACAGATCCACAGAAGATGCTATCTCCACTACCATCCACTCAGTTTTCACACAGCTACATCTGTTTGATTTCAGCTCAGCATTCAATACAATCTGCCCTGTGAAACTGATTTGCCTCACAAACAAACCCCAGACAGTTCAGATTGGTGGTCACACCTCCCCTACTCTAGTGCTCAACACCGGAGTACCTCAGGGCTGTGTGCTCAGCCCCTGTTCACGCTGTACACCCATGACTGCTTCCCCCGACATGGAGACAGCTCATGGAGATATGAGTTTGCAGATGACACCATCATCAACCGGATTTCAAACAATGAGGAGACTTCATATCAGGATGAAAGCAAAAATCTTGTGGAGAGTTGCACAGAAAACAACCTACGGCTCAACGTCAGCAAAACCAAGGAGCTGATTATTGTTTTTAAGGAAAAAAGAGGCAAAGACAAACTCTTTCTGTCTGTATCAGTGGAGCTGAGGTGGAGTAGGTGAACAGTTTTAGGTTCCTGTGAATCAACAGAAAACCTGTCATGGTCATGCAAATGTCATTAATCAATTTTTATTTATATTTTTTCAAAAGTAGCATAAAGGGAACTATATCAGAATTTCATTCTACAACCTTGCATTGTAAATGACAATAAAATAACCCGGAATCCTTGAACAGTTGTAGTTGTTTCTGAAGTTTTAAGCAAATAATCCAACTGGCACACACACTTCACACAGTGATTGACCAGGTGTGAGGTGAGAAAGTATGCAGGGTTTGAGTCACTTTTTGTGTGTACAAACAAGCGCAACATTATGAATTCCTAAGAGGAAAGTTGTCCCGACAGGAATGGTTTTTACTTTAGAGCCCTGTTCTCCTCACAGGTGCATACTTATACCTTCTCGACACATTCCCCTCCCCAGTGTGTTTTTTGATTAGCAGCGTTGCATGAAAGCTGCCCTGGTCACTAAATGGCCTCCTCTATGGAATTTGTCAGCCACTATCTAATCAGGTTTACTCACTCTGTCAGAAGATAGCTATTTATCAACCACGCTGTTGATGACGGAACAGCAGCGTCTCCCCGAAGCTTAATAGCGCGACTAATGTCCTTTAGTCATTCCTATTGTACAGTCTGTATCCCAACATACAGCTGGCCCTTCAGTCAACCCTGAGTTGAGACAATACAGAGCTGTTAAGGTGAAGAATTTGCAGCGTGATGCTGCTGGCCTCAAGATATGTGTTCCTATACTTGAAATATCTCATGTTTAGTTAGGCATAATGTTTTTGATGATAATGAGCTGTGAAATTGGCTTAGTGTGACTTCTCTGTGAATCTTGACAGAGGATTAGTTTCAAAATTCTGTCAGTGATCTTATCTTTACATAAATGTGAGTACACACCAGGGAAATTACAGCAATATTACTTGTGTAAAAAAGGTTAAAGGTATTTCTAACAAATGCAAAGACCAGACTAAAACTAGTTTTTTAATATCCCAAGCAAACTAAGCTGCAAGTCCCTGTCTGCTTTGTGTTTACAAAAATGCTCTTTGATGAGCTTGACCTTGTGGGTCTTTGCGTAATTGTGTTCCTTGTATTTTGCACACTGCGTTTACTCATATTTGAAGTTTTGTTGGCTGGGTTTGTTGTGGTTATTGTGCATTGTCGTCAGGTTTGGTCAGTGGTCTGTATCCACGCCAGCTGGAAGGATAGCCAACACAGAGTGTCCTATCTTGTTTGCCACAGAGTGTGAATTGAAGAGTTTGCAAGCTATCTGGACAGAGAGGTGTGAAGAGGAACCCTGCCGACAGCAACAAACACCACACTTTCCAAAGTTCACGGGGCTTCAAAAATCATGCATCCTGTGAAAAATTGTCTGTCAGGCTGACTTTGTAGAAATTAGTGAACTCTGAGTGTGAAAGGTTAGAAAAACAGTGAGGGCAGTGTGAGAACAGACAATGAGAAAAAGGTCAGTGATCTGGATGCTTGGAGAAAGAGGACAGTAGAATGTATGACTTCAGCCACCTAGACGCAGCCTAGACTGGTTTACAAACTCAGTCTGCCTTACTGAGTAAGCAATCAGATTTATTTGTCATTCATTGGGTAAAAACTCAATTTATAGTGATGTCTTGATTTCTCCCACTAATTGTCAACTGTGTTTGTATGTCTGTGTGTGCACTGCAATCATAAACTGCGACAAACTCTGCACCATTATTAAAATTCCCACTAACCCCCAACTCACACCCTGTTCCAACTTGTACTGCGGACATTATGTAGCAGAAGACCAAATCTCGTCCACTTTTCTCCTCCAGCTATGACAACACATTCTCCAGGTCAACCATTGCCTACTTACAAAATGCACACACACTTAAAAACACACACTTACACACAGGGTTAGAACAGGGGTTTCAGAAGAAACATTAGACCATACATCTTGCACTGAGTCACTTTACAAAGCTTGCTGAAATGTAGAACAGCTGTAAACTACTACTGGCACCAGGCCTGCACCTCATCAAAAGTAAATTATCCTTTCAACACACCCACCAACACTCATTGGAATGAAAAATCTGCACAACGGCATTCTTTTCAGCTGTCCACAGTGATACCTTATACTGTGTTTGAAAGGCCTGTAGAGTCATGTTATATAAGTTGATGTAAAATATTATCTGTGTACTTCTAACATGACACATCACCTCTCTCCACTGTCTGGCTTCAGACTACCTGGCGAAACATGGCCGTCTGAGTGAGCTAGAGGCCAGGAGGAAGTTCTGGCAGATCCTGTCGGCGGTGGAGTATTGTCACAACCGCAACATCGTCCACAGGGACCTGAAGGCGGAGAATTTGCTGCTGGATGGCCACATGAACATCAAGATAGCAGGTACCGTAACAACGTAGTGCAAGAGGACCCATACACGCATTTATGAATGGAAAATACAGGCTGTCTGCATGGAATCATTAAGTTTTGATCCATGGCCTGATACATATGATGTCAGTGCCAGAATAGTTAAAAAATGTCTTAACTACCTGACCAGGCCATTTGCACAGTGTTGAGAAGTGGTCAGAGGTTGCTTGCGAGGTAGCTGTGGGCTGAAAGATGCCACGACAGACGTCTCAAAATCTTAGCAAGAATCCAAAGGCTAGTGCCACCTTTATCAAAACTGATCAGAGAAGATCAAAAATCCCTCCCCAGTAACCCCGAGCTTTAATTTTGAACAGGAAACATTAAAGATAGAGGACAGAAAGAGAAACAGACCCAGAGGCAGAGATTTGAGACTAAGCTGGAGGTCTGTAGTACAAGCTTCAAAGTGTGATTATTAAGCAACTGGCATTTAGAGCTAGCTAGTGAGAATGTCACCCTACCGCTGTTTCCCAGAGTGGAGGAGGGGGAGGCTGGGAGGGAGTGGGAGGGCATAAGGGTGGTGGCAGGGAAGAGTTTGACTTTAACTGGAGGAGAAGCGGGGGTGGTGATATGGATTGGCTACTTTGGAGTGGCGGATGAGAAGATGAAAGAAGAATGATGAGGAGCAGTGCATAGCAGGGTGGCAGGGCTGCAGCTGTGACAATGCTCTGCAAGAGGCAATGGTTTATCTTGGGCTTTTTTTGGAGATGGTGATACTTAAATCAATCTTAGGTGATCTGACCACATGAGGACAGCTAAAAATACAGGTGTGAAGGGATACCAGACACACGGAGTATAAATGTGTGGTCCAAAGAAAATGGCCTCTTGTCCTCAAAGGACTTCATATCATTGACTCTAAATAATATAATAAAATCATTATTTATTTGTCTGATACATGTTACTTAATGGGGGGGAAATGACAGATGGGCATTCCAGTGAGCACCCCAGTTAACCTTCATGGCCAGTGTCCAGTGGCTTTTATTTGTTCTCAAAGGTAAAATCAGATAAGGACAAATTAGAGAGAACTATACAATAACTGATAGAGAACCGAGTGTTTCACCTGCATCATCCTGTCCATTGTTTGTCAGAAGGGTCCAAGATGATAACCTGGAGATGTTATTACCCCAGCAGTAATTTTCACAAACAGGTCTGACTCACAGCCAATTGTCCGCACGGCAGATTAGATTTGAAGCAGGAAAACAATGAACAGAACATTACCTGGCTTGTGATTAGACAAAATGTCTCTGAGGAGGACATCAGCAGCAAGGTACATTCTGTACTGCTTTTACCCACAACATGCTCAGACAAGTTTGGTCAACGGTACATTAAGTTTAGGTACACATGTCAGATTTGTACTGTACTTGAGAAAGACAGTCCTCACTTCATATTTCCTGACTGGATTAGTAATATTGGTGTCAATTCAGATCAACCAATCATGGTAAAAGAGAGGTGAATATTTCTAGGGCTAATCAGGAAATAGAGCTGCATCCAGTGGTTATTTTTATTATCAATTAATCTATTGGTCTTGTCACCAAAATGAGTTGTGTGTATCCTCCTGTAGATCAGTGGAATATTATGCTTCTGTTGACAGCACTGTGTATTGCGACATGTGCACATGCAACTGCATATGACCAACAAAATGCAGACCCCCTAGAAGATGGCTGCATTCTGCCATTTGAGGACAAACTGGTACCTTTTTAAATGCAAACTGTGTAGGGCTACAACAAGAAATTATTGATTGAACTTTGATTGTTTTTTTTGTCTATAAAATGTCAGAAACAATTGTGTAAAATGTCCATCACAGTTTTTTAGAGGTAACGTTTTCATATTGCTTGTTTTGTCCAACCAACGGGACCAGAATAAACTCCCTGGAGAAAGAAATGTGCTATGAATTAATTTAATTTATTAAGTCTTGTGGAATATTTGTTTTTATTTCATTTGATTTTATATAAAATGTTCTTATTGTCTTATATATATGTCCAGTCTTATGCTTCTGTGCTGTATCTTTGCCTAAGAGTTTTTCCCGCAATCTAGTGATGTCTCCCTGCTTTCTAAAGGCCACCTCTGGTCAGTCTGTATGAAGCTTAACCAGGCAGCGGTCAGTCAAAGAAAGGTCACGTTCATGGTGGCTGCAGAGGAGAGGGGAATATCAGCAGCAGGGGGGTGCCCTTCATATTTTCACTTCAAACAGCCCCTTTACGTTCAAGTTGACAGATTGAAGGGGATGGAAGGAGAGGAGAAGAAATAACAAAAACAAAAGCAAGTTGCTGGATCAGAGGAGGCAGCCCTTTGTGTCTTAGCAGGAAAATATATATTCCATGTTTTCGGTTGTGTTTCTTTAAAAAACAAAGCAAATATGGTGTGGTAAAACCACTTTCAAAAACCAAATCTGATGTTTCATACATTTTCTCACATCACCAAAGCGTTTATAACTTCATTAACTGTTACTGGAATTTATTGTTTTTGTTGAAACCATCCACAGAGTGATGTAATTGTAAGTGCACTAAACTCTAAAGGTGTTTCATGCTCAATTAAGTGGTGTAGAAAGTATAAACAATCTCCAGATCAAGGACACCTGTTGGAGAACCAGTTTCTAATTGATTTTTTATACACATCGGCTTCTATAGTAATAAAAAGAAATGGAAACCACCAGCGTTGGCCAGTATGACGATATCAAATATACCTTAAAACAGTAGATGGAGACTCATCTGCTGGTATGTCTTCTTCCTAGCAGCTATTTGTTTATTATATCTGATTATATTGACTGAGATCTCTGTTGCAGTAAGCAGGACTGCTTTCTAGCTTTATTTGACCTTCAAAGTCCAACTTGACCTTCGAAACGAGCAGTTTACAGAAAAAATCTCCCCTCAAGGTCCGTTTTGTAGCTGTTCCGTAGCTTTTGATCAAATTACATGATATTTAAGGCCCCTTAAAACTTGGGTTCAAATATTAAATAGTTATTTGTTACAATAAAAAAACTAATTGTTATTAAATAGGCAGCAATCAAAGTAAAAATTCTAGGGGAAAATCTACTTAGGTATTTGAGTTTAACACTCAAAAACACTTTGTTGATTGGTTTTTAGGGCCTTTAAATCAGCTATAAACAGGTTGTCAAATCTCTCTATCACAAAATCATAATGTAAAATCATATATACCATAATAAATGTTGCACACTCCTAGCAGGCATTATAACCAAATATGTACTTAATTTAACACTGTAGTGAAAGTTGTTTTCAGTCACAGGTTAAAGTAATCCTTTAAGGCAAGATTGTGTAACTTTTACTAAAAAGCAGTCTCCAAATGTAACAATTATGAGATTATGGTAAATTAAGTGCAAAAGAAGCGAATAGAGAAGTAAGCAAATCACTCAGTAACGTCTATTCTACAGGAATATCTGAAAAGTTTTGCTAAAAATGTGTTACCATAAGATCCAGATCATACCAACAAAACCTCTGAATTTATTGAGTTGTGCAAGTTTGCGTTTTGTTTCTTAAGAATTCAACTTTTCATTTTTCATCATAAGAGGAAGAATTTGTTGCACAGTTTTCTTAGAAAGAGAGAGAGAGAGAGAGAGAGAGAGAGAGGTTTGGGGAACTTAATGCACGCAAGGAGAAAGACAAGGAGAGGTAAAAAAAATGTTTTCAGTTGGTAACAACAAGTGTAAGAGAAGAGAAAGGAAAGTGTGAATCCAGGGCAGTGCATCCTGGGCTGCAGCCATAACTATATCAATGCTCACACCTTATTATAAATGACACAGTTTTGATGGCTGGATACTGTCCACTTACTGCAGCATGATGATATCACTCATACACTCCATACATACAATCCACACACACACAGTTTTGTACTATTTTATACATGTCACAATGGAGTGTATTCCAGTGTGACATGTTTAGGCTAATATTATGCTAATACTGTTGTGTGCGACACACACACGCGCTCCCCCCACCCCGCCCCTGCTGTTGAGCTATGAGTGCTGTTAGTAGCCTGCAGCGTGCTGGAGCGTTTGACGTCAACCAGTCTGCTCAGTATTCAGCTCCATGAAATGGGTCACAGCTTCTGACGATAAACCAACAGCACTGCTCCGCTCTGCTGTGCCTGCATCTCACATCTCACCTTCACAGCAGCATCAGACAGTAAACATACTTGTAATAAACCCCAGTGTGGCGCTCTGCTTTACCCTCCACTTTATTTCAACCACACCTGCTGCTACCTGCACTGCAGTGATTACATGGATTGAATACATGCACTCACGTACACAGTGTCAAACATGCCATTTCCTTAGTTGGAGTTTGCACTGCGCTAATTTCTCAAACCGGATTCCTACACGTATTTTCTAGTGAACAAGAATTTCTTGCACCTTTTCTTTTCTATACAGTCAAAATATAAAACACAGTATGCGGTCTAGATTCTGCATCATTATCATCATCCACGTCAACATTTTTGAAAGTAGTTTTCAAGTGTTTCACCTTCCCCAGCTGGAAATGGACATAGCAATCACAGTATATGGCAGGGGGCCATTTCTGGCCCTCCAACCCCCTCCCTCCATCATGATGTCTAAAATAAAAAATAATCCAGCCCACCAAAGTTTTTCTAGTTGTTTCATTTTAATTTAAACTACCACAATTAAAATAAAACCACAATTCTGTTTTATTTTTCGTTTGGCGTAAAATAATGACAAAAGTCAAAGGTGCCATCCATGCAAGCATTTGATAAGAAGAGAGCAGGTTTCAGGCCTTTGTTGTCATTTGTTGTTTGGCTGTGAACAGCAAAAAGTATAGAAAATGATTATATAATGAATTGTATGCTTTCATTTTTTTGTTGAGTATGGTGGTAATGGAAATATTTTCAGAATCTCACCAACTGTGGCCCCAGGTCAATTTGAGGTTGAGACACTAAGTATATGGTACTCCTCCTAAACCATTAGGAGACATGGAGAAATTACAAAAATATTTGTCACTACCAGCTTCTTAAATGTGAGGATTTGCTGCTTTTTTTGTTCAAACTGTTTTACAGAGAGGTGTTGTGTCGTGTTAATTGTAAAGGGTCATAATGCAGAGCAAAGGAAAAGGAATTGGTTACACATTCTCTCACACACTGCTCAGTCTGTGCATGTGTATGTGTGTCTCTCTTTGTGTGTGTGTGTGTGAACCCACATCACCTCCAGCCCCATTATATAAGACAGATTTTTTTTATCAGTGTTATTTATTTGTTTTGCAATACATTTTTTCTGTTTATGTAACTGTTTCGAATTATGGAAAAAGGGTGGGGATGGAGGGTGGAGGGTGAAGTGAGCCTGGTTGTCAGCTCCCTCTTGCTGTCAGGTCCCATGACACCATCACAGGGCCCCACTGATAATGAACTAGCTAAGCATGGGGTTGTTTTCCTTATCTATTATCTGTCGATTCACTTTGTTTGATTTATCATCATTTAGGCCAAAAAATGTTAACGACCAGTCTCCCTGTCACAAGATTCCCTTTACAACGATAATGAGAAGATGAAAACTATGAAATCTTCATATTTGAGAAGCTACAACCAGTAAATGTTAGGGATTTTTTAAATTAATTATGAATTAATTATCAAAATAGTGATTAATTAATTTTCTGTCAATGCGCTAATGGATTAATCATCTCTGCACCAAAAGTTAGCACCAGTAGCAAGTCTTGTAAAAACCGAATGAGGAAAGGAGACAAAGGATCATTTACTGGAGAAGGTTTGAGAACGAGAAGAGGAAGAATGAGACAAACTAATAGAAAAAAAGGGTCTGGCTGAGCAATTGCAGTTACGCTAGTTGGCTCAGTGTTATTTGGCAGATATTACTGCAGCTTTGAGTTGGATTTTAATGAAAGGCAGACATGGACTTCTCAGTGATTTGAGTACGAATGTGAGTTAGACTTGTTCCTTTTGAAGATTCAAATTTGAATACAGACAACCAATCACACCACAGCGTCAATGACCTCATGTCGGTCTCCAGGGGAGGTTACCTCATATAAAGGCCCATTGCCTCAACGTGCAAATATGCGGATCATATATTACGTTATGCAAAACCTGCAGACCCCATGGAGACACTTACAAACTCTCAGTCACAAGGCATAACCCATCTTTGTTCTGGACACTTCAGCACCTCAGTCACCTTAGCTATACTGTAGATATTCACCATGTGCCTAACCACTTCCCTTTTTACGGTCACATGTAATACTTACAGTTAGAGTCCCTTATGGCAAGAAACTTCTTTACAGCACTGTGTACAGCATACTTGTGGAAGGGCCTTTACAATTTTAACTGACTTTAATGTTTGAATTATCTTCTCTTTTCCCTCCCAACCCACCCACCATTTGCCTGTGTAGATTTTGGATTCGGGAACTTCTTCCAGCCCGGGGAGCCTCTGGCCACATGGTGCGGCAGCCCGCCTTATGCTGCTCCGGAGGTCTTTGAGGGCCAACAGTATGAGGGCCCACAGCTGGACATTTGGGTAAGATGAGTAATTACATGAAGTAGACAATCACACCACATTATTTTAAATCGTTTTTTCCAAATACAATTAACTTTGAGCACAACTTTGTTTGATATTAACTAAGCCACATGAAATCAGCTGATGCAATTCTTTTTTGAGAATTATTGTATATCTAATAATGGAAACATGATGAATCAGCAGCTTTTGTTCCTGTCATATGGTGCTAATTTCCCCAACCACAGTTTTCAGCGTGGTGTCTATCGCAATCATTTACCATATTCTTTTTCGTGTTTGTATTTCTGTGTGTGAAGGGAGGCCGTGTATTTGTCTGACAGTGTGTAAACTTGTGAAGGCAAACAATAATCTTGTCTTTATTCACATGCAGACACCTCTGATTGATTTATCTACTGCTTTGACCTTGTTCTCTATGTGTGCATCTTTTCATGTTCACAGAGTATGGGGGTGGTGCTATATGTGCTGGTGTGTGGCGCTTTGCCCTTCGATGGGCCCACTCTGCCTGTGCTTCGACAGAGAGTCCTAGAAGGAAGGTTTCGCATCCCTTACTTCATGACTGAAGGTAAGAGGAGACTGTTTGGGATATTAAACACAATATAAGATAGGAGACTATGCCAACTGCTGTAATTCCTGTAAATTCACACACATTTGTATTTATGAGTAGGGCTGCACAATGAATCACAATATGGCCAAGTTCAATATCAAAACTGTATTTTTTTGATGAAGATAAAATGTGTGACAAAGAGCATTATAATGAAGTACTGTAGTTCTAAAGAGCCCTGGCCTACAAATCTTGTTCTCCAGATGTAAAATATCATGTTTGTTTGGTGCAGACCCCAACAAATGTCACATTATCATGATTTTAATTGTTTTTCCAGTGAAGATAAAACAAAATCATACTTCCTACACTAATCATGAATCATATCAGAACCAAAATATCTGGTAAAACAATGCCAATATGACGGTGTTACAATATCACGCTGCCCTATTTGTTGTATACACCTTCCAGTCTTTTCTTATGACGGTGTGTAGTCGAACTGAGGCAGGAATGGCATGACAATTCCTGTAAGGGACAATAAGATTGCGCTTTCCTATTTGAGTCACCATACATACATGAACGTTAGCTGGCAGACTCTCTTGCAGCTGTAACCAGTCAGGGGGTCACTTCATTAACGAGAGAGCATCACACTCATTTGAAGGGGATACAGAGCCACTCTGTCATTGTCCTCTGTAATGTGTGTACGTGCGGCAGTGTGTATGTGCGTGCTCGCGGGCTGCAGGGTGAGTCAGGTTGGCTAACTGTCTCAAAACAGCCCTGCTGTTAGCGGCTGCGCTAGCTATCTGGCAGCAGATTAAGTCCAGAGCTGGAGCTGTTTATGTAACCTGGGGAAAAGCCAGTGATGCCTTCCAGCAGCTCGCCTGTCTGTCTCTCTGAGGAGACTTTGCCTGTCTGTTTGGACGTCTGTCTGACTCATGCTCTCTATCTGTGAGACATCTTCCTGTCCGTCTGTGGCTCTGTCTGTTTCTCCTGTCTTGTTTCTCCGTATCCCATCTGCAAGTCTGTAGCACTTTCTCCACGGGGGGTGTGGTGAGAGAGTTTACCAGATTTTTTTTCTTTTTTCTTTTTTCCTGTTGAAACAATTAGGACATAAGGGGAATGTAGGAGTGTAATGTCAGCACCGTGGCCAAACTGACACTCAAACCCGCCTCTCCACCCCCAGTCCAGCCCCTGTTCCCTGAACAAGGGGAACAGAGTGTGCCGATTTCTTCATCCATCTCATCTCCTCTTGTTTCTCTCACCGGCCAGTGCTGTGGTACACAGCACAGCCTAGCACTGCAGAGTAAATTCTTACTAGAACATCTCAGCACTGTAAATTTGGTCTACTCCCAACTTACTGACCTAATAACAACAGTAGATGTCTTATGTCTCCCCTGCTGTTGCATGTTGCACACTGGTAGATGGTAGTACAGAATTGCTTAGAGTTATGTTATCCAGAACAACAAACAACCAAATCCCAAAGTTTGTATCATTTGCAGCAGAAACTCACTGCAAACTGCAGGGTGAAGCAACTACTGGTATTGTCTTGGTTAATCAATTAATCATTTGGTCTACAAAATGTAAGACTATTGTAAAAAGTCTAAGAGGATGTTCTCAAATTGCTTGTTTTGTCAGTCACTGCTAAAGATATTGAATTAACAATTTTATAAAACTGAGAAAAGCAACACATGAATTTTTGCTAAATTATTTGCAAAACAGTTTTCTGTTAATCTGCTAATTGGTTTCAGCACAAACTGGAAATATAAATACACACTTTGCATGCAACTTTGCCTTGTGAAACTCAGCTGCTTGTGTTGCAGCTTGTGGCATTTTTTTCCCTCTGTCTTGCATTGCAGCAATACAGCTAGCCCATCACAGCCCACACGGAAACAAAACAGGGTGTTGTTTTTGAAATTCAAATGAAATGAAATGTTTGTAAGCCTTCAATTGCAGCTTGTGTTGCATTTCACTTATATCAGCTTGTAGGGTTTATGCTCATTTTAACACACAGGCATGGTGGTTACATTTTATATATAATGGTTATAATCTGATATTTTTAAGCTCCTGCATATGATAAAATCAACTAAGTAGATAACAGAAAGTCAGCCTCAAACCTACTCTCTACTGCTCTTAAACTTCTCGCAACAGAGTGCTGTTCTCCTTCATTGGGGGACGCGGTGTAACTCTACACCACTGGGTCATGGCAAGTGTTAACTTGGATGGTTCTGTGGTTGAGTCATGGTGGTGTAACGTACTGGCTAAGAACAGTGTGTCAATCAGTCAGCCAGCTAGACGGTTATGCAGTGTTGGCCCCTTCACATAGTCCAAGCATCCCTGGTGGTTAGTAGCTTTGAAAAGTTTGCTCAGCTTCAGCTGTTGCTATAAACACGGCTGTGGCAACGAGCAGAGTAACTTCTGGGTCAAACAAATTACACTGTATTGTATGTGAAACAGGTTGTAACTCAGCAGCTGCACAAGCTGCTAAGTTGCCACAGCATGATGTAAAAGTACAGTGAAGGGCACACGGATTATGCACATAATGGGGAAAAAAGGTAGTTTGCTAAACCGCCAGCCACAAAGGTAGAGAAAATGTGATGTAAGCAGACGGTAGGAGACCAGCAGGGTGACTGGGAAGAATGTGAAGCAGGGAGTTAATGTTGGCAGGCAGGTCCTTTGGGCTTATGAACTGCTGAGGTCTCTCTCCTAGACATGACATCTGTACACATCGGTAGAGCAGAAGAAATAAGGCAACCTGCAGAATGTTACTAATGTGTGCAAAAATTTAATTTATATCTGATCTGTTTATTCACTGTGTGTTATTCAAAGTGTTCAAATTGGAAGAAAAACAATATGATGATTAGATTTCACAGAGTACTTCAAAAAGAGAACAACTGGAGTCACTTAATGGCATGTGAATCATGTTTTGTTTTGAGGTTTTTAAAAATACTTCAGTAGCATTTTCAATCAGACTGCAAACTCTTTCAAAAAATATATTCCAGGGTTAATTTTCTGAAATTACACCTGTTTTCCTTTAAGACCATAGCAGCAGGGTATATGGGTAAGGATGCCGTGTGGCGGGCAGGAATGCAGTGCAGGCAGTAGGAGTGCAGGCAGGCCAAAGCGGCACAGCCAGGGGAACTGTAATCCTGTTAAGAACCCAGCTGTGTCTGACGTCAAACTCATCTAGCCACTAACTAGAGGTGAGGAGCTCTCATCAGGAGGGGAGGAAAGTAGAAAAGAGTATAGACGCACTGTTCAGAAGTGACGCAGAAGAATTTAGCAGATTTTAAGTGTTATTTCTGCATCACTTCATCTGGGCTACTTTGACGTGGACTTGATGCTTTGTGGCTTAATTTGCTTCACTGTAGCTTATACAAGAATTGTCCGGTGTATAGAACATAAACGTACACTTCCTTTTTTTAAAAGTGGTGAACCAAAGTATGAAAGGCTATAAAAACATTATCACGTCCTCTATGATTGTTCTTTCCTCCCCTCCCAGACTGTGAGCACCTGATCCGCAGGATGTTGGTCCTGGACCCATCGAAGCGTCTGTCTGTGGCCCAGATCAAGGAGCACAAATGGATGGCTCTGTATGTTCCCGTACAGCGGCCTGTACTGTACCAACAACCTCTGTCCGCTGAGGGCGAGGTGGGCGTGGGAGAGTACAGTGAACAGGTCCTTCGCCTGATGCACAGCCTTGGCATTGACCAGCATAAGACTGTAGAGGTGAGGACTGAGGGAGGTGTTTGCTTTATTTATTCAACAGGGGTATGAAATGAAGGGGGGGGGGTTAAGGTCCTAGCTTCAGACTGTAACATAATAGACAATGGATATACACATCAATTTAAACGCATGCAGAACACATTTTACTTTATGCAGAATGATGAAAGTGAGTGCCCAGCAGTACAATTGAACAACATACAAACAGATACAAGTTGGATAAAAATAGAGAGAATAAGGTCCTTTTTCTTGTCCCTAGGCAAACCCAAGAATGGGGCCTTCCTTCTGCCTTATTCTCACCCTATTGGCTGTTACCTAGACCAGCTAGTGGGGGAAAGTACAAAACAAAGTGTGTTTTGTGAAATGTCCCTTCCTAATAATAGACTTTATCCATCCCAATGGGAAATTGCAGCAATAACAGCAGCTAAGTCAACACATGAATCACTAAACAAACAATATAAGGACACTTAAAGAGGTAGAAACGGTAAGAAAATTTAATTACAAAAACCTAAATAATCAAAATCTTACCTAGAAACTAAAATTGAACTTACTGTAATGATGATTGATATACTGATGAATTAAAAATATTCTGAATTTGTCCTGTGAATGAGACACTCTGGTTCAAGGTTCAAGGTTACTTTATTTGTACCCATAAGAAGATTTGGTTTGCAGTAAAAGGTAAGGCATACCTCTTGACAAATATAGAAAAACAACAAACAAGTCAGACAATAGACAAATACGATACAAACATGATAAAAGATAAATTATAAAGATAAAGGGTAAACGTGCTCCAGGCCCTAAAAGTCACAACTTACTTACTTAGAAAGAGAGATCAATAACAAATACCAATAAAAACTCAGCCATGTTAAAACAATGGCAGTCTAATGGTTAATTTATCGCTAAAATTATTTTGCACTATTGAGCAAAAATATCATAATTATCATATGTGATTAGAAACTAAAAGGAGAATACATCCACTCCTTCACTGAACACCACTGAAGTCTTTTCATGTATGAGTGTAATGAGGAGGCTGTAATTTATATGCAATGTATTCTACGTGCTTTTCTTTTAATACATTCCATGTGTTGTATTTTTAATCTATACTCTGCTCTTAAGCTGCTGCAATAACCCAGTTTTAAGAAATAAAGAATTATCTCAGCATATGTTAAGAGCTGTCACAGTTAAGTCATCCAAAATGGAAAGGTGTGCTGCAGTAATGACTTCAATTACAGACGCCACCATTTATGTTGTCTGTCATCCTTCAGTCTCTGCAGAACAAAAGCTACAACCACTTTGCTGCTATCTATTACCTGCTGGTGGAGCGGCTCAAGGCCCATCGCTGCAGCTTTCCCGTCGAACAGAGGCTCGACGCCCGCCAGCGACGGCCCAGCACCATCGCCGAACAGACTGTCGTCAAGGTAACCACGCGGGGCGTCAGGGCAACGAGGGGGTTCTGAATAACGTGGATAGAGATTACCATCCGCACACCTCCCTGATCAAAGCTCCATTATTCACATCTGCACCCGGGAACAAACAAACGGACAGACACGGCCCATTCATTTATTTATCCAGCGAGGTTCTGTCTTCACCTGCTCTCTCCCAGTCTTTTCCGCCCAGCCTTGATCTTAATGCGTCTCCCTCAGTTACATTATTCATTTTCTTTTCTTTGCCAACTGTCTCTTCTTAGCGACACTGTGCAATTTCTCTTTCATTTCCCTCGCCATCTAGGATCTGGCTTTTGTGTCTCGTTCGGATTACAAAGTCAAATTCACAGCAGCTCAATTTTGTCGTAATTGCAGCAGTATTATCAAAGATGCTGTTAAGTATATTGGAGGAGGTTTTTTGATGTAATGTCAAAGACTCTCTTCTCTTCTGTTTTCTCCCTCTCTGCAGTCGACCAGTGGTTCAGCCCAGGTGGGTTTACTCCCGCAGGGTGTTCGTCTGCTGCGTTCCCCTGCTGTGCCCCAAGCCTCCTCCGATGCTTTCACCTTCCCCCAGACTGCATGTCCCCTGGAGCAGAATTTCATGGTGGAGGACGTCAACACGCCCAAAGTAGGTCCAATACAAGTAAAAAAGACGAAGCTTCAGGGACACGAGTGTCTTTTTTTGTTTGCGTCTTCGTTCTCTGTCCTCATATGACAGCTCACTCACATCCAACTTTTCGGTCACAGACGTTGTGGTTATCGCAGTCATTATCAGCGTGCACGAGTGTGTCCTGAAAAATTATCCTGATAATCTTGACAGTGATTCGCTTTGATATGCATACCCACTCACTGTGAACCAGAAATGTCTGTGCACACTGTGTGTGTGTGTGTGTGTGTGTGTGCGCGTGTGTGTGTGCATGCATACGTATGCCAGACTCCTTTGAGGTATTGAGTGCTGGCTTGCTCCGTCAACCCGCCAGAGTGCAGCTGACTTGTTCTCTTATGTAAGAACTCAGCCAGCACTCACATCAGACAGGACAGCTGCCTGTCCTGCATGACTTCCAGACACACACACGCACACTCTCTCACACACACACACACACACACACACACACACACACACACACACACACACACACTCTGTTGATCTGTGCCAACCAGAGACCTTTTCCTCCAGGCCTGTTGTTGAGCTGACCGACTATTAGAGAACACAGACACCAGTGGTCTGAGTTGATGGCCTCAGACACCTGCAGGGCTACACACACACACACACACACACACACACACACACACACACACATCCATACATGCAGTATCATTCTTCAAGATTTCTTTTCCATCCCACCCCCTCTCCTGGCTCCAATAAAGAGGGATGTGTATGTTCTTTTATGTGTGTATGTGCATGTACCCTGTGTGTGTGTGTGGTAAGCAGAGAGAGAGACAGAGTGTGCGTTATCTGCGTGAATGGAGCCTGGTTATGTAAGCGGTCCTGTGACGATGATGGTGTGACCTAATGCGAAGCTGAGTGAACACACATGGACAGGAAGCTGCTGCGCTGCTCCAGCGATCTCGCTGCTGTGACCCTCCTACCCATCAGCCAACAGCTCGTCTTTTCTTTTTTAGGTTTTTGGCTCCCCTGTTCTTTTGTCTTTTGTTTCTTTTCAGATTCTTCTCTCTCTTCTTTTCTTCATCTTTTAACTTCACTCTCCCCTTATGACCCCCACCCCTTGCAATCGTCTATTTCTCAATGTCGTTTTCCCCTCGTGTGTGTGTGTGTGTGTGTGTGTGTGTGTGTGTGTGTGTGTGTGTGTGTGTGTGTGTGTGTGTGTGTGTGTGTGTGTGTGTGTGTGTGTGTGTGTGTGTGTGTGTGTGTGTGTGTGTTGAGTAACAGCATTCCTATCCCAGCACACTACAGAAAGCAGATGGGGAATTGGGCAAAGTTGCTCTTTCTAGGCCAACACCAGGCTTTCCGGTTACTGCAGCCACTCATGCAGATGATCTTTGTGTGTGTGTGTCAGTCACACAGCACTTTCAGTCAAAGCTCACTTCCTGGCCCTGCATTCCTTTATCCCCACCCTCCACCTCTAGGCCAACACACACAGGCCTGTCTACATGCTGTAACAAACAAACACACTCCCAGTATGAGACTGTGGTGAGTGGAGGGAATACAGAGGGAGGAGAGTATCTAATAGAGCTCTCAGTCTCAGTATGGTGGTCGCCTTCTTGTATCCAAGTGGTCTAGTGAAAATTATGGATTTTCTGTGTGTTTGTTGTGTGTGTGTGTGTGTATGTGTGTGTGTCTGGCGTGTGCGTTTGTGTGTGTGTGCACTGTGTGTGTTTAGAGGTCTGATTTGACTAACAATGGTTCCTTCAATGTGACGCTGTTTTCTTCCTGGCATAGTCAATTTTGGATGTATAGTTATTGTTCTGTCCTGCCCTTTATCCGCACCCTCCAGGTGAACGGCTGCCTGCTGGACCCCCTGCCTCCCCCCACTGTCCTCCGCAAGTCCTCCACCTCGTCGCCTAGCAACATGATGGAGACGTCGATCGATGAGGGCATCGAGACAGAGGAGCCCGACACAGAGGATGATCCGTCCCACCTACTCTCGGCCTATCAGACAGCTCGGTTTGGCCAACGTCGACACACCCTCTCTGAGGTGACCAACCAGCCAGGTCCTTCAAACCAAGGTATGATGTCACCTGATTAAACACAGACGTTTAGACTTTTATGTCACTAAAAAAAGCTGTTTTTCTGGATCAATTTCTTGAAATTGAATAAAAACATTTGGTCTTCCAGGTAAATTATTCACTCTCGGCCACAACCCCTCCATGGGTAGCGTGGACTCAGACATGGGCTACGACATGGGCTCCATGCACAGCGACCTGGGTCTGCTGGAGGATCCCCCCTCTCTCAGTGAAGTGGTACCAAGCAACAGTTCTGCCCCCGGCGTCTCCCCTACGCCTTTCTTGAGTGCTCTGCCCGCCAACCCAGCAATGGCCGCCCTGACTTCCCAGCATAGGGAGGCGCACAACCGCTCACCCATCAGCTTCAGAGAAGGACGCCGTGCCTCTGATACCTCCCTCACCCAAGGTCAGAACCACCGATGTTAATTTGTCTTTTTCTTTCCTCCACAATCATTCATTCTTCTCTCCGGTTTTTTCTCAAACTACCCACCTCTCTACATGCAATAAGACTTCAAAATGGGTCAAGTATTTTCCCTGATAAACCCAGGCACTCCATTTTGGGGTCGACCTCGATATGCAGAAGACCGTTCTGCCACCTTTAATAGAAATTTGGACGAGAGATGATTCCTCTCCAACCATCAGCAATAGACAAATCCACCTTAAAGTGGAATTGCACCAATTTTACACATGAAAGTCGGTTTACAGGTCTTGGAAAATACTGTATATGTGATCAAAGGTAGTATAAAGCCTTTTTCGACTCCAGATGGAGCTCCGTGAAATCTGAGTAATTGCTTCAAGTGATGTCACTTGAGTCAGCGGCGGTTGGGTCTCAAGATGAGAAGTTTGAAAATGGAAAAAAGTACAAAAACTGAGCTTTCACCCGCCCCTCATTTTGACTTGATAGTGGGCTATTAGGCTATTTTAGCTGCTACTAGCATAACACATCCAAATTACCCACATTGTATTGTGGGTAATGTAGGAGGAATAATGTGTGGAATAAAAATATCTGTTTCTGCTGGATTCATTTAGATTTTTAAACTGACTTCAGTGTTATAGAGGAGCATTGCTGAATCATTGCAGCACTTGATAGTCCAAGATGCAATGATCTTCTCTTGGATGATACTATCCCTATTGCTCTTTCTACACAGCTGAAACTCTTTAGAGATTGCTGAATGACATCCTGTGACATACAGAAAATCACTGTCTAAAGTGGAAGTTAACAAGACGGGTTGCGTAAAAGGCTTTGAAATCACAGATCAGTCTTCTATATAAGTGTCATTTAAATGCCAGATCTGGCATGCCTCCTTAAGTTCAGTCACAACGAGCTACAGAGAGTTTGATGCATAAAGTGTCATAGTGCATATATCTGAGGCTGCAGGATTCACAGAGCACTGGAGCGCCAGTCAAGAGGAAAAGCATTGATTCTCATAACACAGACGCAACACCTCTGCTGCAGCTGCTCCCTCACACTCTTCTACACACACACACACACACACAAGCACGCATGCACGTATGTATATATACATACATACGTATACTGCCTTCCGGATAAAAGTGCCTCATTCCGACTCTGTCATTTTCTCCCCCCCTCCTCTTTTTCACACACTTTTTTTCCCTGTCTCTTCCTCCTCTCTCTTCCCTTCTCTCATCCTCTTCAGTCCCTCTGACGACTACAACGGTGATGATTCACGTTATGAATCACAGACAGATATTTGAAGGTTTCAGCCCACATATCTCACCCCCCCCCCTCTCTCTCTATCCATCTCTGTTACACTCGCTCTCCTTCTCCCTCTGTACCGCTCTTGCTTTTCTTTTAAAGTTTCAGTTGGCAGGATTTGTCTCTGCTCCACATCAGAGGGAAATAGAGCCATAATATAAGAGAAAATATTAAGCAACCTATCTACCTCTCCATTTTTTTCCTTTACTGCTACATTATTCTGTGCCTGCTGCCTGGTTGTAAATCACTTGTGCTTTAGCCAAGTAGAAACTATAATTATAGCTTAAAATGTGTTTTACTTCCCTAGCTCTACGGTGACAGTTATTTTTATATTTATTTTTCATAATCCTCTTTGGAGAGTGTTGTTGCAGTGGATTCTTTGCGTCAGACTGCTGACTCTTGTTTTAAATAACTCCCACCATAACGGTGAGTCAGGACCTGTCGTTCACAGCCACAGCTCGTCACCACTGGATGGGTCTTATCAGAGGCACTTGCTGTTGCGCACACACACACACAGAGATACTGTCATGCGCACACACACCCACAGCAGCTCATGACGTACATCCAGTCACATTGTCAGTAGAGGCGATGAAAAATGCTAACCGGTCAACCAGTTTGATAACATCAGTGACAGTTTGGCCTGACTTTCTGACAGGATAGAGCCTCTGACATCCTGTTATGAAGAGAGAAGTGATTCTGTTGATCAGCTGTTGAGAATGAATGTTGACTTTGTATTGTTTGGATTTGTTTGTTTTTTCAGGTCTGGTTGCGTTTCGGCAGCACCTCCAGAACTTGGCGAGGACCAAAGGCATCCTGGAGCTGAACAAAGTACAGATGCTGGTGGAGCAGATGGGCTCTGGGGAAGGGGCCGCCATGGGCCCTCTGGGACCACAGCACCACTTGCACAATCTTATGGAGGTCAGTCTTAGCAAATAATGACACAAAGACAGACACACACACACACACACACTCACCCTTCACTCAAACCCATTCAAGAGCTTTCTCTTCCCAACCCCGTTCTCACCCTCAGTCACTCTACTATCCTCACCCCATATTGGGCAAAAAAAAAACAAACAAGCACCCAGGCGGTTGTGTAACCCCGGGAGAGGCAGCCAACTGTGGCTTGTTTACTGTCTCCCGTCCCCCTGGGGCCTGGGGCCTGGAGCCTGGAGCCTAGGCCAAAGTGAATGCAGCCATTGTTGAAGTCAGTCGGACTTAACCATAGTAGTGACTGGCACTCAATAGGCCCAAGCTGCTGATCACATACAAATACGGGAACACATATACAAAAAATAATACACTCACACTGCAAGGGGAATCATTTGAGGAAAGATCCAATGGCTTTCCTGTAAAAAAACAAAAAACAAACACACACAAATGAATCATAGAAGCAGACAAGATCTAGTTGTTTTCCTTTTATCCATCCCTCATAATGCAATAACGCAGCTCTTTGTTGGTTATGATGCTCGGGCACCATCATCCTTTTAATTTGCTTTCATTTCATTTAACTACTGTGTAATCCCTGTGGTACATGCCATTTAGAGAAAGGCATCTGGCTGATCAGTCACCACACAGGCATTTGGGCAGGAGACAGCACAGATAATCCAGTTAGACCACACGATGAAGCACCCAGACCCTGACACAGCTTTATTAGCCGGCAGGAGAGGAGATCTGGGAATCATGTGTCCACATGCATGTGTGTACAAGTACAATAGCATAAACATCCCTTGTTCTAATGCTGTATGCTTTTGGTCGAAGGGCGTGGCATCCAAGCAGCAGGAGGGCCTAGCTTCATACCAAGGTGGGCCGCATCCGCCTCTCCTGTCCCGCAGACAGAGTTTGGAGACACAATACCTGACTCATAGACTACAGGTACAGTCTAACACCAACTACACTCACTGTTTATGACTATATTCATGTATAAGTTAATGATACAGATACAGATCTGTCTTCCTCTCTCGAGCCAAATGGCTGCTCTGTGTAACACTCTGTGATATCATTTGGAAATGTAAGGATTATTAGTTCTCCCAATGATGCCACAATAACGTAATAGTTTGTCGTCTGTTACCATGGTAATTATCCTAAACAACAGTCATCAGTCCCAGTCTCTCTTCTGCCCAAAAGGCCAACGTCTTGGCTAACAGTCCTGCTAGCTGCCAACTTTTCTGTAAGGAGACTCCTCGAAGTTTAGAGCAACAGCTGCAGGAACACAGGTAAATCATGCTGTAAATGTCTGCTTCACACACTTTAGGTTTTATTCTTTCTTCTATTCTGTTCTATGAAATATTTTCATTGTTTTTCTCTAGTCTTCTTGTGTTTAGCTGTGGTGACCATTCACTGCAGGAAGATTGAAATTGAGAGCAAAAAACATTTGCAATCGCAAATAAATACAAAAAGGAAGACTTAGTCATTAACTGTGCTACACGGACAAGAATTTAACTCTTTAAGACACCCAGGAATGAAAGTGGTGTCAGGGCCATTTTGTTTTACATCATTCATTCACTCTGACATTATGTTCCTGTTATCTGACTTCTTGTTAGAAGAGGGGTTATTTTGTTTTTATTTTGCCCTAACCTTATGTGTAACGAGTTACACATGCGTCTATCTCATGCACGCTTGTCACCATCTTTCTGCCACTATTTTTCATTAATGTAGCAAGCTAGCCATGTAGGAGGATGGTGTCCCCATTCTCTTAATCCCATCTACTAAGCTCTGATTGGTCAACTGTTTCTCCAGCCGTCAGTGAGCCCAACCGACCTATTTGAATCGGAACCAGGCTAAAATGTGCAAAACAAAACATGCAGGAAATTTGTCTGAATTCAGCGTTTTTGGTTTCCCAATTGCATTTTCATTCCAAATTTTGCCCACCTGTGCAAATGCATAAAATTTACAAGCTTTATGTTCACACTTGTGTTGATTCTAAGTGTTGTCATGATCTAAGTGGGCTCTACTGCTCTCCCCACAGACTGCACCAGAAGAGGATGTACCTGCAGCAGTCACAGGGCATGGGGCTGCAGGCCTACTTCAACCAGATGCAGATAGTTGAAGGATCCTACCCGACAGGCAGCCCTGCTCTGGACCTGGCAGCATCTCAAAGTTCCCCTCAGGGCCCCCCCATGTCAGCTGCCCACCAGCCTCAGCCCCAGCAGCAGGGCAGCCCTCAGGCTTCGCCTCCCTTCAGCCACCCCCATAGCCTCAGTCCCTTGATGGAACCAGGCGAGGGCCTGGTTTATGATCCCTACATGAGCCACCACCACTACACCCAACACCTTCCACCTGGATCTCACCTCTACCACCAGCTCCACAACCCCCAGCCTCATGAAGCCTCTACCAGCGGCCTGGGCTTCAGCTACCCTATAGATTGCGAGCAGCAGTTCCTGGGGCCTTCCTCTGAGGTTCTTCTTGCAGAGCAGTATGAGTTCCCGCTGGACCCCGCCTTGCTGCCCCCGCCAGCCCCAGGAGAGGCTGAGGCTGGAGCTATGACCAGGGTTTTGGCTGGTCCGGGGCAGTCAGACGGCCTGGGCCTGCCTGAGCTGCAGAGCTCCCTCCTGGACAGTGAGATGATGGAGACCGTGGACTCCCAGCATGGCTTCGTACTGGTCAACTAAAGCCAGATGAGGGGGTTTATAGAAAGCAGTATTAAGCAATGAGAACCCACACAGCACTAAGAGCAGAGAGAATGGAGATATAAGTGGAGGCCACAAGCGTAGCAACAGGGAAGGAGAAGTGTTAATTTTTGTACGACTAATACAAACTTCATTTCTTAGTTGTGACGAACCTCAGACAACCTTTCTACCAAAATCCTCCCTTAGCCTACCTCCCTTTCTCCCTCTCCTCCTCTGTTGTCATCAGCTCTGTGAGGCAAGAACAGGTCCGATAAATGGCACAATGTGAGCTTTGCCGTGCTGACTTGGCAAAGCTGCAGTTGTCATGGACATTGTCCCACCTGTGAGGACTGCGCCGTGCAGCCCGGGGAGGGGGGGGTGCTGCACATCTTGCAGGCTGCCAGAGTGAAGCATTTCACCTAGAAATGGTTTGGAAGTCAACTAATTTAGGACTGACTGACAGGCAACCAAAAGGACAATGGCTGGCAGTGCTTTTTGTATTTAAAATAGGACACCATCAACAACAATAGACTGGTTCTTAAAACACTGTTGTGCATTTTTATTTTATTTCAGTAGATTAAAAAAACAACTGAACAAGAGAAAATGGCCCTCATTTATCACGGTACCACGAACATCTCCGCAAATTCAAGTGTTAAAAGTGTTTTATAGGAATTATTTCACACACTAATGTGAGCTCAAAGGCTAAAATGACGGCCGTATTGATGAGTGCATATGTTTCAACACTAGTATTCCTCCAAAAACAACAACAGGTCGCTTTTGTTTGTCATTAGTCTGAACAGATACCATGAACATGCTGAGTGAAGCAGCAGGTTGGTCAGTAACGCACCATTTGTTGAGCTACGTTTGTGCTTTTTACAGCGCTAAAAACTCTCTCCAAGCTATTTTTTAGTTCATTAACTAATAAATAATAGATATAACACAATTCTTCAAGCTATTGTGTAAGCTATATGACATAAATACTACAGGTTTTTTTTTTTTCTTGTGTTTTTCGTAACTACTGATCCTGATTTATTTCTTACACTACTGAACTGCTATTTCACCCTTTCCATCTGACTGCACACTCGCCAGCTGTCATTACATTCAACAGGATGAGGACAATTTACCAGTTTTTGCGGGGCAAAATGGCCACACGCCTATTTAACAGTTGAATTGTGGGTCATGCGTTGGCCTGATAAATGAGGGCTAATGTAATTAACCTGTGTTTGGTTGAGAAGTAGCAATGTTAGACAGTCAATATTATTCTATTTTTGTGGCAATACTGAAGCAATATTAATCCTTAATGTCGAGGGATTATGAATGGAAGCCTCACCTGTACAGCCAACTCTGATTGGTTCCCGGGGACCTCTGATGAGTCGTCAGCAGTGACATCACTTGAGCTGATGATGTAACCAGGAGATAATCTTTCACTCACTCGCCCTGGAAGCGCAGGGACAAGCCTGGAGACTGTGTGTGTGTGTGTGTGTGTGTGTGTGTGAGTGTGAGTGTGAGTGTGTGTGATTGTTTGTTTGCACAATTCATACTTCAGATTTGTCAAATCATGATTTGTCATCATTAGTGAAAAATACAAACACTGTATTGACGTCTCCATTCAAAATAAAAACAAACTGTGCTTTTCCCTCAGCGCACAGTTGTAGCTGTTAGATAAACTCTGGTTTACATCCTCAGTGCTCCAGTCATGCCTCTGTGTTGTTTTATTGATGAATCGTGTTTATAATAATGGAATGACCCCTGAAAGATTCCCTGCATTAGATTTCATGAAAGAATGTTTCCTTTCTGACGTTGGGGCTGCTGTGAGACGAAGACAAGCAGAACGTCGGTCACCAGACACTGGATTTTAGACTATAGGCTCACCACCGCTCTTTGACTGACAGCAAGCCAGCAACAAGACGAGAGATCTTTTTTTTTTTTTCCTTTTTTTTTTTTTCTTTACAGCACTTAGACTGTTCAATCTACTTGAAGCGCACAGATGTATCTTCTCTCACAGATGATGACTTACTGATGATTTAGAAATTGGAATAACAACATGGTGAACGTCAGAGGGTTGAGATGAGATTATTGGATTGTGACCATCTGCCAGACTGTGTGACCCTCAGTGGTTGTGGGATAAACTGTAGGAGTGTTTGTGGTCAGATTAGCCTTCAGACAAGACAGTCACTCTCATGCTGTAGACTGGATTGAGCAGATATATATTTTAAAGTTCGCAATCAAATAAACGACGGCTAGAAAATATGGACCAACTGTGGTTGAAGTCCTGTGTGAGGAGGAGAAATCCACCCTAAAATGCTTTTAACACTGTTTCACAGACTAGAGCAGCAACTAATGATGAAATCATCTGCTAAATTATTTTCTTGACTAATCAATTCGTTTTTTGGTCGATAAAATGATGGGAAATGCCTGTCACATTTTCTCAGGGCCCCAAGTATTCATATTTCATGTACTTTTCTGAACAACAGTCAAAAACCCAAACATATTTAGCTGAGTTTCAAAAAAAAAAAAATAATAATTTTGTCATTTTTTGGCACTTTTGCATAACAAAACAAGGTTGTGAAAGATGTTGCTGAATCATTTTATGTCTACTTGTGTCCTCTTCACAATAGACTAACACTGTTGGCAATGCAGTTTATTTCTAGGCCTCTTTTGTTCTTCAGTGGTGTACTTTTTAAATTCCTGAGTATAATCTGTCAAGAAAACCCATTGTTTTGATGTCACTCGGAATCTAAGAGCAAATGCTTGGTTAGTCACCATTTCGCTCTGACGTTTTACAGAGATACTAATAACTCCAGCAACAATGGCCTCAATAGGCCAGAGTATACTGTGGCCACAAGACCTGTTGCAAAACAGGTCTTGTGGTTGCATTAATAGTTCCACCCTAAAATTTACAAACTACTGGTTAGCTGGATATGTTTATATGGTCATACACCCACATTTTATTGACAGGAATAAGCTCACACCCAGTTTGTGGGTCATGCTGTAAATGTCATTTAGAAAGAGAAGTGACTCTAATACAAGAGTGTGAGACAGGTTGAACATAAAATAATAATTCTGGAGTTTACAGATCAGTACATTGGCAGTGTAAGAGTATTAAAGGGTGGATTTCACCTTTTTAAGTGAATATTGTGATTGTTTTTCTTTCATTTTGTCAATGGTCAGGCTAGAACAGCTACTGAATGATCTGTGGAAGTTGAATACTGGAGCACTTTGACAACAAGGGGAAGACGAGATGTAGCGAGAGGAGGAGGTGATTGTGGTGGAGGTGGGAAAGGTTTGTATTGCTCTGCTGTTTCCTGGCAGATGAAACGAACCGTAATCTGTAGGAAACACCTTTTCTCCTCTCTCTTCCCCACCAATAATGGACACAAAACACATTTTCTTTCAAAGAAAGACCAGACACAGTAACACTTTATCTGATTGTTGATTTTAATCCAAGAAAGAGTAACACTTTCTTTGTACAAATTAGAGGTGTAGTGAATCTTCAGTGCGCTCTTTGCACCGAGGTGAATTTTGTGTTGAACGTGAAAAGTGTTCAGTGTGCCTTTTACTTTTTTTTCAGTCTAAATTAAGAATCTGAATAGCGCCATTATTTCTGGTTGGACCCTTGTATCATTTATTTTATGATGATTACTTTTTTTCTTTTCTGTATTTTTTTTTTTTTTTTGTCTTTTCTTCCGAAAGTAAGTAGAGCCAGGTTTTACAAAGGTACAAAACCAAAGTCCCTCAGAAGTTTCCCTGTACGACCCACCGTGTGGAGTTTTGGAGCTTCTTTATCAGCTTCTCTACCGTGCTTTTTTCTCGTTGGTCAATCAGTGTATGCCATTTAAAAGTATTATAGCAATATTTCTCTAGTTGAAGACTAAAGTCATGAAGATTCTAGTGGACGTGTTTCCAAGTATCATAATTTCACCTCCTGCTGATAAAACAAAAACATCAATCTATCAATAGAAATCCAGTTTTATATTTACCTTCATTGATGTTGACCACACATAAGCTAACTTGCTGTTGAGATTAAAAAAGGTTTATTGAAAAAAAAAAAAAGCATTGTGGGTGTTTTCTTTTGTGTGTTGCTGAGTCACATACTTTGTCAGTGTGTTGTGACAGTACTTTAACACTTAATATACAGTTTGTGTTGATCCTGGTTATTGAAACATGGCTCCAGAGCTGACACTTAAGTATTTTCTACCAACGCACTCAGCCATCTTCTCCCCATAATCCAATTGTGCTGTAACTACGAAGTGCAGCCGTCTGATAGCACCCTGGGGTTGTGCGGTGTAGGCGTGGGTTAATGACCTGGAAAAATGAATCACACCAAGTGCTTCATATAAACCGTTGAGTCACAGCTGAACCTGAAATTATTTCAACCAGAACTAAAGCTCCCGAGGCGGTCGATCCAGCAGGAGCTACAGGTCTAGTTTTACTGCATCATTTAAATATTTATATTCTCTCTTGCTAGATTCAAACTAACAAAACATTTTATTGGATTAATACTGTCACTGTTCTAGTCATTAATTTTGTGATATATGTTTCAGCCACAGCCTTTAAATGAAGGTACAGGAGATGGCAGGTGTGTAGTTCTCCAGCCAAATAATAAGCACCAGGATGTTAAAGCTACAGGAGGTAACGTTTATAAAAATAACTTTTTGTCTTGTTTGATGAAGCTTTAACTATAACCTGACAGTACATGAGACAGATAATCTGGGGAAAAAAATCTGCTTCCTCTGGCTCCTCCTAGTGATCCTCGTAGATAAACGGTCTTTTTTCCAGGGACCCGAAGCGTTGATGTGTTTGACGACAAGACATTCGGCTATCGTCCTCGGCTCTGATTGGTTGTTCTCGTTTGGCATTGGTGGATTCTTGTAAATGCCATTAGCAGGATTAGCAGCCAGAGGAACCTGATTTAATCAGATTATCTTAAAAGATAATAAGGTTAGCTTTCGATACATGACAGCATTACCTTGAGGCTGTAGACTCTACCCATCTGCTCTGACTAACAGGTGAGGAGACTATAAAGAATTGCCTTCAAGTGTTTGGCACAGGTTTGGTTAGCAAAGGGAATTTACATAAATTCAAACAGCATACACAAAATAATGATTCAGACAAATCAGTTGAGGAGAGTCTCACACACCTCTAGTGGTATACGTACAGCCATCACCCCAACCGTGGCCAGATCAACCTACCCCGGTGCAAAACTTGATGAGTTTTTTGTGATAATTTGGTTAAAAACAAATTGTTTATTTTAAATTGTTGCTGAGGACACTCGCCATATACATTTTGGCACAAGGCCCTTTTGCAAAACCGGTAATGATGCATGAACACGTGATGAACACCTGCGTTGATGTCAGTTCTGCTTTAATAGCACATATTCCCAAACTATTGTGCAAGTGATCAAATTAACACACATTTAACTAAAACAAATTGAGAAACCCAAGGGCAGCTGCTTGCCTCGGTACAATACAAGTTAAGGGAATTTTAATTGTGTTGCTCAAAGCTTTAAAGAGTGAAAAAAAGGGTTTGCAGATTGTTCCACAGACATTTTCAGCTCTGCCTCCTTCAGTGTGCAGTCAGTCAGTTTCATGGTTGAGTCTTTTTAACCCTTTCACCAAGAGTCACAAAAGTTGTTTCAAAAGTGATTAAATCTGCTGGTGCCTTAAGATTAGTCCCACCTGTTTTTTAATGCCAGTTATCTTGTTTCAAGTATTTTCTAAACTGTAATTTTTCAGGATTCTTATATAGTTTTATTATTGTTTCTAGCTACTGAATTTATTCGTGAAGTATTTTAACAAGTTGATTCAAATTAAAAACATAAATTCAGGACTATAATAACATTTGAAATAAACACCATAAAATATGTCTTTTATTGCATAATGAGTTTATTTACTTTTGATACTTTAAGTACGTTTTGCTGATAAGACTTACATATTTTTACTTAAGTAGAATTTTAAATGCAAAATTTTCTACTTGTAATTAAGTATTTCTATAATGTGGTATTACTTACTTGTATTTAATACTTCTACTGCAGTAGACAGGTTTTTTTGTTTTGTAATTTGGGTGAAATGAACCTTTTAAAGACAGAATTCTGTATGTAAACAGAAAAATGCCTTTCTATGATAAAAAGACAACAAACACTCCTTTGTCTGACCACATGTGAGTCACTGCAGAACTCTTTTTATACACAGTGTTCACATGCAGGAGGAGGACCTGAGTAATTCATCACCACTGATAAGAACGGAAGTCCGCACCAGATCTGACATCACATTTGGTCCATCACCATGGCAATCGCCTGTCAATATTTAGTAAACTATGTGAAACTCAAACACCTTTTTCTGATAGTAAAGTGCGGCTGAAAGGGGGGCTTGTCCTGAGCTGCGTTCTGATTGGTGGACCTCAGCTGCACATGTGAAAAGAAAATTGTAGGTTTCTGTAAATACACTCAGAGCAAAAATATGCTACTAGAAGTTTTTTTTAAAAAGGACTTCGCAATGCTGTTTGAGAGCAGAGGTTTGTCCTTTTTGTGCCGAAAGGATCATGTAGAGAGAACACGTCAATCCAATCAGCCCACTCAGACAGAGCAGCTAATCCCACTAATACACCACCAGAGGTAGGTGGGTGGGTGTAGCGGGGGTCAATCTGTTCATGGAAACCAGGGTCTCAC